GTTTGTCGGCGCGACCGCGAGGGTGTACGTCGCCGTCGCGTGCACGACGCGCTGGTCAAAGTCGACCCTGGCGGCCCAGTGCAGGTGCGAGTAGGCGCCTTCGGGCAGCGCTGCGTGCACGGCCGAGGCCACGGAGCTCCAGTCTTCGCTCTCCATCGCAGTCGGTTGACACACCACGTGGACGAGGCAGGAAGTTGAATGCTACATTGCGGCGATGCCATTGGCTGCGCCATTTTGACGCCGTCAACAAGCACGAATAGCCGACACTGGCGCGTTTTATACAAACCGGATTCGAACGTTTCGAACATTCTGGCTGCGTGCCACCTGAAGGACAGTCAGTTGGCCGCAAAGCATCGCTCTACTACAAGCATCACAAGGGCGCAAGGTACAAGCGATACAACGAGTGTCGTGGCTTTGCTTGGCGCAATGCGGAGACGATAGGTCAAGTTGCAGGTGGGCGAGTCCGGGCAACCGTAACGCCCGAGCACGTGGCGAAATCTCGTGTGTCCATGACGCAAAACTAGATCTCGGAGGTCGATCGGCACGTTCAGAGCTATTCCGCATGCTTCGATTGCGTAGTCGCGGCAGCAGCAGCACTGCTTTCCATAGCATGATCTCTTCTGGTGCTGCCTCGCTTGCCGCTGTTAGCAAACTTGACCCCACTACAGTTTAGCTGCAAAAATAATATTTGCAAACCAAAGAGTGTCCTTACTGCACAAGGAGATCAAGGCAGGCTCTGGCGATGCAATTGACCAAGCCGTGCGCAGGGTCGTCACTGGCACACACGAAGGTTACGTCACCTCCGTTCCTGACGCCGCTGTTTTAAACACTGCAACGGGCTGCATCCGTATACCTGTTTTCATAAACGACTCGGATTGTGGCCACACCCACAGAAAGGCCCGCTTCTTGAACCGACTGTTGATGTTTGCGCTCGGTCGACGTCGCGCGACCGCTTGTGGCCGGCGATGGCTCCATGCGCCAGCTCTCAAGCTCTCGAGCCCTGAGGCCATGGAGGCCTTTGGTGCCGGCCTTGCGCCGCACGTGCCATGCCCTTCGACCGTCTTCCTCGTCGGCGACCTCGGCTGCGGCAAGACGTGCTTCGCCCGCGGCTTTGTGCGCGCATGGACGGACGACGCGGATATGCACGTCACATCGCCGACGTATCTGCTTCTCAACACCTACGACGACGCGGCCATGGCGCGGTGCGCAATGCTTTTCTGACGTCGTCTGTGCTGATATGCTCCTAGATCACTGTATCACATGGACCTCTATCGACTCGACAGCGTCTCGCCTGTTGACGCCAAGGCCTTGGGCCTCGAGGATGCGTTTGCGTCGAGTGTTAACTTGATTGAGTGGCCTGACCGACTCACGCCTGACCTTGTGCCAGGAGACCGCCTCGAGGTTCACATTGCGTACACCGACACGGAAGATGAACGAGCCGTGCAGCTCAAGGCCTTTGGTTCGACATGGGAAAGCGCGCTTCGCTGGTTCGAGTCCACGCAGGTTCAGCGATAGCTTCATCTAATAGAGAAGGTGGGACACAAAAAGGTTTTCGAGTTCTGTTGCCAAATGGCCCGTCATCCAGAGAACATTGCAATCAACCTCGCGCTATCGAGGTGATTCCCTCATCCTACAACGCGCTGTATGAAGTGCGGTCACTGTGATCCATCGTGCAAGAGCAAACAAGGCCAATTCATGATGAAGCCAGCTCGTCATAGCATTAGTTGGTGGGCGGCTGGTACGTGTTGGCGTCGTTCCACTCGTCGATCTTCTTCTTGATGAACTCCATCACGACGGGGCTCGGATCGATGAAGAGGTGTGTTTCGTCAAGGTCTTGGATGATAAACTTTTTCTACATGCAGCGTGAGGCAAGCGCCGTCATCGGTGTCGCACCTGCCCAGGCACCGCGTTGAGGTGTTTGAGGTACTGCTTCGTCGGCGGATCGCTATAGCCATCGTTAGCCCACATGCTCGCAGCGGCCCTCGACGGCTACGCACCACTTGACAAGCACGCCCGCGCTCGCGTCCACCCCGCTGCGTCGCATTGCTCAACTCCACCGCAGGCGCGACATCCGGACTTCCGTATAAACCTCTGACAATATATCTATACATATTTAAAGATAGAGGTGGTTGACCACCAAATGCGCCAACAAGCAACATTCTATCCAACAAGAGTCCTAATATTATTCCGTCGCGACGTACAGCAGTAGAAGGTGTGCTTGTGGTAAGACCACTATGCGTCATTGCGAAGGAAGGCTCTTTACGGCTACCAGCGCTCGCTGGTTGCGGGCTATAATAGGGTTAGGTGTACCAGCCAATTGAAGTTGCTATGGCTTGGCTGGGACGGTTGTACAGCAATCGCGAACGTCGGGTGCCAGCGTCGCGCCTTGATGGACGATGGATGGCGAGAGCTTGCGCCATTCGCAGGGAGAAACACGCAGCATTCTTCCTACTACGACGTCCAAACGAGCGGTCGCTTCCACGTCATGAAGTGCGGCGTGGAGCGCGGTTTGGTCGGGCGACCGTGCACTGAGAACAGCAAAGCACGTGAGGGTATGCGCGCACGCCAGCTCTTGTCCGTGAAGCGTAGACGCGTTGTTTGTGCCAACCTTATGCCTTCGAAGCCATGAAGCATGTAGCAGAGCTGCGTTCGTGGTCGAGTTTAGCCACGCAGTACCGCTAACACACCAGGTAGACGCAGCACCGCCTTGGGCTCTACATTCGAGGTGCAATCTTGCGTGATTTTCCCACGCGATCGCGAGTGCCCCTCTCTCTGCTTCCGTCCGTGGGCTCCTTAGACGCCCGTGAGTCATTGCCGCGCCGATCGATACATAAGCGTGCGCGTCGATGCGACCTGTCACTACGAGCCATGACGATGCGATGCAAACAGCATGCAGCACCCGAGACACGACGTTGCTACCGAGTACGCCTAGTCCAGCACGCACCAACGACCACGACCGAAGCGAGAGCACGCAATCCATGGTCCCACAACAGTCGTATTGTCCGCATCATCATCGCCAACGTAGCTTACATGTCGGCATTGCACTCGTCCAGCAGCACGCGGTCGTAGATCATCTCGAGATGCAAGTCGGTCGACTCGGCGTGGACGTTGGCCATGCGACGTGTCGCACCGTCCGTTGGGTCGTACGCTGCTGTCGTCACCAGCACGTCCCGCGCCAGCAGCACCACCAAGCTCGCATCTTGGCGTCGCCAGAGCGTTCGGAAGCCATGACCGCGCTCGGTCGGATGGCGAGGCCATACAAACACGTCCAGATGCAGCCCGTCGACGTCGCTCCACCCGACATAGTGGGCCAAGGCGCCATGCGGCCACGTGTGCATCGCATGCGGCATGTGGTCCAGCGCAAAGGCGGTCGGCGGCGACGGCCACGCCGGCCATCGGCTCTGCACCTACAGAGCAAGATGAGTCATCGGTTCATTGGCCGCACGGCCACTGGACGATCTCGTGTCATTGAAATATCGTCCCGTGACACTTGGTGTTTCTATGGATTTTTTTACGCGCGACACATTTTCTGTGCCGGCGTCCGACGTACCGAGAAGACGTGGCCGTCAAGGCAGAGACGGAGACCGCACGCGCCGAGCCAGCTCCAGAGCACGTCGAGAAAGGACGGCGTCTGCAGCGCACGGACGATCGGCGTCGCGACGCGCCAGGCCCAGACGCCACCGTAGACTGCGTCTGGTGGCATCAACGGTTGCGTCCGCGCCTACGTGCTGCGTCAGCGCCGTCGCCCGACGTGTCGTACCACGTGCGACGTCTGCAAGATGCGGGCAAAGACCGCAAACCCGATCGCGTGCGAGGGCTGTGGAACGGTTGGCGGCGGCAGCTGCGCCGAGAGACTGCTTGTGCTCTCGCCGAGCGTCGCCAAGACCACGTCGAGGCTTCTCGCGAGCGACTCGACGGCGCGGTTGTACGCTTCGTGGAGCTCCGTGTTGTCGTAGATGCTGCCGTCGTACCGCCGACAAAAGTCGTGGATCCTCGACGACGACGTGATGAGCCGGCAGAGGACGGCGAGCGCAATCGTCTCGAGGCGCGAGGCCGCGTCGTCGAATGGCGCGAGCTGACGCAAGAGGAAGAGAGCGGGCGGCTGGCGCACACCAGGCACATGACGGGCGGCCTCGGCCCAGACGCGCGCCTCGATGGCCGGTGCGACCGCTGTGACGGGCACCTGCGCGCAAAGTTCGAAAAGCTGGAGAAGCCGCGCGGCCGTCTCTTGCGTGGACGAGCGCGGCAGCTCGGCGTACTCGACGACCCACGGCCGAGTAATCTGCGCGGGTGGCGTCGACGGCGCTGAGCACGACGTGGACGGCGATAGCGACAGCTGCTTTGCGCGCGCCCGGCGGTACGAGGCGATGGTGAACGGCGTTGACGCAAGGTTGTCCAAGATGCGCACGCGGTGGGCAGCCAGTCGGTGGCAAAGGTACACCTACGAGCGCCGACGCTGCCGCATCGTCGGGTGTGCGTATCGTACGTGGAAAACGTGGCGCTGACTGCGCTTCTTGCTGCTTGAGCTGCTCTGCCACTCGTAGTGCCACCCGTCGCGCCCTTGGTCGTTGAAGTGGAAGCAGTCGACGCCCTACATCCCATGTTCTTGCGGCCAGGACCAAGAAACCTACGTCGTGTCGGCCGCGGACGCCCATGAGCCAGACGCCCGTGGGGTTGGCCGAGCTGCGCACGTCCCGCGGGTCAATCTCCAGCTCGGTTGTGACGCTGTCGCTTGAGAGGCTCTCGAAGCGAGCGAACGCAATGACGCCGTCGGTCGTGGCCACCCGGACGCTCACGGATCCACCGCAGCCGCGGCTACCGCTATGCGGGCAGCACTCGGGGCTGCAGTGCGGGAAGCAGCTACACACACCTCAAGCCGCCACGCCAGCGACACGAGAGCATACCGCACGGGCTACGCGGGCATGAGCTGCGACAGGTATCGATCCAGTGTACCTTGAGCCCTTGGTTGTGATGGCACCTAGGAGCATGCTGCAGCGAGCCGTGGTCTCGACCGACAAGCGTACCGGACGTAGCTCTCGTTGAAGACGCGCGGCCGCATGCATCCCTGCCGGAAGAACTCCATGTATCTTGTCGACTGAAGACAGCCGTCTCTTGGAGACCACTGCATCTTTGTATGCTCGTGGCACCGAGCCAATCAGCGCTGACCGATGTACAAATTTGCTCTTTCAGAGTCAGAAGACCAGCAGGACGCGCTAATGCGATTACTTGGACGAGCGAGCGTCCTAGGTAGACGACGGCCGTGGGTGCAGCTGGGCGAGGGTCATGGCGACTCTTCCGGAGCTTTCAGACTCCAACGACCTGGCGCGCGAACACGCTGCACCCCAGCACCTTCGCGATCGTCATAACAGGATTATAAAGAGTAGACGTTCACAGGTCCCGAGGTCGGGGCTCGGTGACGGCAGATATCACGTGGTATGACGTTGTCCATTCCCGTCATACTTGGTCCTTCTCGCTTTGCGCGAGCTGCATTTAAAGCCCAGCTTCGAATATCAGGCGACCACGAACCAACGACACCCTTTCTCCAGTACAGCGTAGAGACCTGGCTCCATTACAGCGTAGGGACCTCCACGCGCCGTGTACCTCGTAGAGTTGGCCTGCATAAACTCTTTGGCGGTTTGCTCCGACTCAGATCTCGGTGGACCGTTCAGCGAACGTCATAGATACTCGTCATAGTGTCGGAACAACAATCGCGTTTCATTCGTCGTCGACGTGGTGGCGGAGGTAGACGACGTTGGCGTGGAGCAAGACGCGGGAGCGGGGCATGCGCTCGAGACACTCGATGCGCACGTCGGCCGTCGAGCCGAAAAAGTCGATCGACGGCGCCGGGACGACATCGACGACCGCGCAGACATCGAGCCGATCTGGCGAGTGGAGGCGCAGGTCGAGCCGGACAATGTAGCAGTGCGGGGAGGCCGATGCGGTGCCGGGCCAGCTGTACAGATGGAGATGCAGCTCATCGTCGTCGTTGCCGTCGTCCGAGGCCAATGCGGCGGGTTGGGACGCCCACGCGACGTAGTCACCATGGAGCATGCTGGCTTCGTTGAGCAAGGTCGACTCGCCATTCGGGAAGGCTTGGAAGACGTGCGGGCGCTGGTCGAGCTCGAAGCGCGTCCAAACAGCCGGCCACAAGGTCACGTGACTTCGCACCTAAGAGGCACACATCCCGTCATCAGCACCCGTCATATCGTCCAAGCCAAGGGTCGAAATTGTCCATCGACACTTGGGTTTTGTATCGAATTAAATAAACGATCCCACGGCAAATGGATGGCCACGTTCTCACGTACATGCAGGCTGCGGTCGTCGACGCAGAGGCCGAGACCGTACACCATCGAGAGCACCTTGTGCACGTCGAGGAGGCGCGGCGGGGCCGCCGGGGCCCAGCGCCGAACGTCGGGCGTCGCCTCGTGCCAGACCCAGACGCCGTTGAAGCCGTGCGACGTGAGCATCGGCGCCACAAACCCTTGCGTCTACGGCGACCTTAGCAGGAGCGACGTGCAGGTACGTCACCATGTAAGACTCGCGCATGACCTTGACGAGCGTCGTGTAGCCGACCGCGTGACTGGACGACGAATGCGCCGGCGGCAGCTGCTGGGCGACGCTCGCCAAGCTCTCGTCCAAGTTGCTCAGGAGCGAGTCGATCGTCGCCGAGAGGGTGTCGACGGCCATGTTGTAGACCTCGTGCAGCGCGACGTTGTCGACGACGGCCGCGTGGTGCCGGGCGCAGAAGGCCTCGACCCACGTCAGCGTCGATGGGTGGAACCACCACGCAATCACGTGCAAGGCGACGGTGACAAGCGCCGGCGGCGGTGGGTGCTGTGCTCGGACACCCTGCAGCGGCACGATCGGCGGCGACGGCCCGCGCAGATGCCCATGAATGCGCTCGTGCAACTGGCTCAAGATCGTGGCTTCCGTGACCTCCCACGCGTCGGCGAGAACGTCGATCGTGATCGAGTCGCAAAAGGTAAAGAGCCGAAGGAGACGCAGTGCCGTCTCTTGTGTCGACGACTGCGGGAGTACGACGAGCTCCACGGGCAGCGGCGTCGAGGCGAACGGCTGCGGCGCCGCCCGTGCCCGCCCGCGCACGGCGACTGTCGGTCCCTTGATCTTTGCTTGGCTTTTCGCCCGGCGGTACGAAGAAAGCGTGAACGGCGGCGATGTCAGAACACGCAGCACAACGAGCGTACCCGCGTCTTCGCATCGAAACAGGTATACCTACGCGGGTGATGTGAACTATTTATTGCATAGACCATGGCATGCCGTACGACCAAGTGGTGCAACTCGGAGCGCTTCTTGGTGCTCGAGCCGCCGTGCCAGTCGTAGTGCCAGCCTTCGCTGCGCTTCTCGTTGAAGTGAAAGCACAGCTGGCTCTACAACCAAGCGTCTGTCGCAAAGCAATCGAGCGACAGAGATGGTTACGTTATCCATGATTTCAGGCGCGCCTTCAAGCCACTTGCCCGTGAGGTTGGCTCGTGACCGCAAATCGGCCGCCATCTCGGCGCGCTGGACAGAGTCGCCGGCGGCAAAGGTCGGTGCGCTTGCAGTCTGGAAGCGTGCGTAGGCCACGGTACTCTTGGCCTGGAGCGGCGAGAGGACGCGGACGCTCACGGACGTGCCGCAACCGCGGTAGTACGTGTGCTGGCAGCAGCTCGGGTCGCAATGCGGAAAGCAGCTACGAGGTGGAGGAGTGGGATGCGCCGGCGTGCCGCCACGTACCGGATGACCTACGCTCGAATGAGTTTTGGAGAGGCGTCTGCAAGCGAGTCTACCTTGAGGCCTTGGTTCTGGTGGCACCTACAGTTGTGGTGGCGATGCATGAGCAGCTGACTGCAGCGACGACAAGCAGGCAGTGGCTACCGGACGTAGGCTGTGTTGAAGACGTCGGGCTTGGTGCATGTGGTCCGGAAGAAGACCGCGTCGATCGTGGCCATGACCAGCGACCGCAGGACCTGGAACCGACTGTCTCTTGGATTTGCCTTGGGGTTTGTATCGATTGCGTTTCGGTTGGTTTCGGACATCATTACAAGTAGCCAATCAAATGCGTTCCTTGTGCCGAATTCTACCCGTCGAAGTTCGAAGTCCTTGCGGAAGAAGACACTGTTGACACGCAACTTTTCACGCGCGAGTCGCTTCGCAAGCAAGCTACGATGGTTTGGTTTACTTCATCCATGCTCATGGACAGTCGTGCCTTCATGTATCCATGCTTTCGAGGCTCAAATGGTCGATGTACACGCGTAGTCGTGCGCTCATCCAACACTCTATATTCAACGATGTCACCAGCGCAGACTCCACTTGGATGTAACGGATGTGTCGTGAACAGCACCGGGTAAAAATACCCGACAAGCTAGAAACGTGCGGCTCAAATACATTGCACGATCGAATGGAACCCCCGACTCGTTGCGATCCTCGCACGACGACCATCCCTTGGCCAAAACAGTTGCGTGATCCAAGTCCACGACAAACACCGCGGAAGAGTCGAAGATAGGCGAAGTTCTACTCTCAGATATCATTTCAGAGATGGACCCTCAGCGGTGCGATGAATCAACAAGGAAAGCGCGGTCTGCGGACCCACCGACAGGGTACGGGAGGCGTCGTGCAGTGGGCCAACGACCAAGGAAGCGTCATGACGAGCATCTCCGTAGCACCCAGAACAGCAACCTTGCGGATGTGAGCGCATTCCAGCGAAAGATCCATACACTTGTGGATAGTATGTTGCCGAGAAGCTGCAATCCCTGCGATCATTTTGACCACTTCTGAGGGCAACACTTGACGTGGGGCACAGGCGATGGTGCGCCGTGTCATCGGCGCTTTGTTATCATGCGCTTGGATGTCCTAGTAGGGACCCTAGTACAGTGGAGTGCATCCGCAGGAAAGCTTGCGCATTTTTGACTTGGCACGGGAACGACGACCCCTATGTCCTCGCATAGTGACTCTGGTCTTGTACCGTGCGTATGCCCGTATGTTGGTGCGAAATACTGCTTCTCACGATACGATGGCGCGTGCACCACAGCGCAGACCGCCTTCCTCCGACATTGATCGAATGCACAGAGACGAAGGTGTCGGCTCGAAGCTCCACATGACGACGCCCAAACTCTCTGCATTGCGAGGTGCGCGCATAATGTTCACTGTGTCAAAGCGCTGCGCTTGTCGATGCATCCGTGCCGACCGGAGCGATAAACTCGTTTTACAAAGCTGCTGCGGCGTCTGGGGCGACTAACGCTGCTACGCGGTTCCGTGACGTCTGTGGACACTAAACAAGCATATGGTTGGTTGTCTCGCGCCTTCGTGTCAGTTTTACGTACTAGAATCACGGAATCCAACGACCATTTTGGTGAGCTTGGCGGACCAGCTACCAGATTTGTCCTTGTAAGTTTTGCATCCGGCAATGTGCAAGCAGGAATAATACACTGATCTTCTCTCGTACTGCAGTGGGAATCCAGCTCATGATGACCAAGTCGGCGATATTTCCGACAAAAGTGCAGTGCAGCGACGGTGGGAACTGCTGGCTCTGGTCCACACAAAACCAAAACGGCGGTTTGTCGTTCACTGCTGTACTAAGCGACGCTGGGGTAACCACCACGCGAGCCACAAGCCTGGTTGGTCTCGTCCACGGACCGACAGACAATATGGTTTGCTTCTGTCGAGACACAGTACATCTGGAAAGTGGTCGTCGATTGGGCAGCATACAAATCGAGAGCTGGGCACAAGAGACATTTTTGAAAAAGCCCATGCGACTTGCGTACTTCCGGCGCGACTGCGACCGTGCAGACGTCTTTGAGTCGAGCTACCTTCGGTACGTCTGCCGTGAACGCTGGACCAGGCCTTCATGCTGTCCCCCGCAGCTGCCACCATGCCCAGGGCCTCAAGGTACCACGACCGTTCGTTCATTTGTCGTCTCACGATCGGCGTAGGTGCTCCGGTACGCAACGAAGCAACGGTCGCGGGCTCACGGACGCCCGTAGATGCTTCCCGCACTGCCGCCCCGCTTGCTGCCCCCACAGTTCGTACCGCAACTGTGGCGCGTCCGTGAGCGTCCGCGTCACCGGCGTCGATGCGACGTCCGTCGTGGCATACGCTCGCTTTGAGAGCGTCGGGGCCGCCCATCGCCCGCCGACGATGCTGACTGCGCTGCGTAGCGACGTCCGAAGTCGCACCGAACCCCGTGGCACGTGGCTTCTTGGTGTCGTCGTCGCCAGCACCGATGTACGTTACTGACGCTATGATAGCGGTTCGAGCGTGGTCTAGGGCATCGTGTTTGAGTTCAACCGCAAGCGCTCCGACGGATGGCACTACGATTGGCACGGCAGCTCCAGCACGCGGAACCGAAGCCAGAAGCACGTCCTCCAGGTCTACACCCAGCGAAAGGAATGCTTTCCTTGACACGTGCATAGACGTACCTCTTTCAACAGAGCGTTGACGACCACCTCACACTCGTCGCGACGCTGGCGTCTTCGCCGTTCACGATTGCGTCGTACCGCCGGGCCAAGATCGTCGTCGCCAACGTGCCGCGACCGGTTCCGTCGCTGCTGTCGGCGTCCAGCAGCAGCGCCATCTTTGCGTCAACGCACCAGTTGGACGTCGAGTACGCCGAGCTGCCGCGCTCGTCCACGCAAGAGACGGCCGCGCGGCTTCTCCAGCTTTTCGAGCTTTGCGCGCAGGTGCCCGTCACGGCGGTCGCACCGGCCATCGAGGCGCGCGTCTGGGCCGAGGCCGCCCGTCATGTGCCTGGTGTGCGCCAGCCGCCCGCTCTCTTCCTCTTGCGTCAGCTCGCGCCATTTGACGACGCGGCCTCGCGCCTCGAGACGATTGCGCTCGCCGTCCTCTGCTGGTTCATCACGTTGTCGTCGAGGATCCACGACTTTTGTCGGCGGTACGACGGCAGCATCTACGACAACACGGAGCTCCACGAAGCGTACAACCGCGCCGTCGAGTCGCTCGCGAGAAGCCTCGACGTGGTCTTGGCGACGCTCGGCGAGAGCACAAGCAGTCTCTCGGCGCAGCTGCCGCCGCCAACCGTCCCACAGCCCTCGCACGCGATCGGGTTTGCGGTCTTTGCCCGCATCTTGCAGACGTCGCACGTGGTACGACACGTCGGGCGACGGCGCTGACGCAGCACGTAGGCGCGGACGCAACCGTTGATGCGACCAGACGCCGTCTACGGTGGCGTCTGGGCCTGGCGCGTCGCGACGCCGATCGTCCGTGCGCTGCAGACGCCGTCCTTTCTCGACGTGCTCTGGAGCTGGCTCGGCGCGTGCGGTCTCCGTCTCTGCCTTGACGGCCACGTCTTCTCGGTACGTCGGACGCCGGCACAGAAAATGTGTCGCGCGTAAAAAAATCCATAGAAACACCAAGTGTCACGGGACGATATTTCAATGACACGAGATCGTCCAGTGGTCGTGTGGCCAATGAACCGATGACTCATCTTGCTCTGTAGGTGCAGAGCCGATGGCCGGCGTGGCCGTCGCCGCCGACCGCCTTTGCGCTGGACCACATGCCGCATGCGATGCACACGTGGCCGCATGGCGCCTTGGCCGACTATGTCGGGTGGAGCGATGTCGACGGGCTGCATCTGGACGTGTTTGTATGGCCTCGCCATCCGACCGAGCGCGGTCATGGCTTCCGAACGCTCTGGCGACGCCAAGATGCGAGCTTGGTGGTGCTGCTGGCGCGGGACGTGCTGGTGACGACAGCAGCGTACGACCCAACGGACGGTGCGACACGTCGCATGGCCAACGTCCACGCCGAGTCGACCGACTTGCATCTCGAGATGATCTACGACCGCGTGCTGCTGGACGAGTGCAATGGCGACATGTAGGCTACGTTGGCGATGATGATGCGGACAATATGACTGTTGTGGGACCATGGATTGCGTGCTCTCGTGGTGTCCACACCCACCGCGAGACGAGATCACTTGTGTTTTGGCTCACAGCGTCAGGGCGGGTTGCTTCCTTCGTCGTCATGGGCCAGCCAAAGTCCCAGAAACGTGTAACTGGGCAGGCCATGTGTCGTGGGCGTTGGATGCAGAGCACTGTGTTGAAGCATGACACCGCAAGGGCAGAACAATCCGAAGACACAGCACGTTCGGTGCAAACTTGCATGTAGTGCACACCGGGTTGTCGCTGCAGCGCACTGCCAGGATGACACTAGGGGAAGGGTTTTGCGTCGGCTCATGTCTACGAACGCTCTGGAGCTTCAACCTCTGGTGGCGACAGGTCCACCATGAAGTGGCAAGAGGCCATCGCTTCACTCGTTGATCGACTACGGCAGCACTGCTGCGTCGCAAGGACCTGGTCGGCCATGCCGCAATTAAACCATTAAATTCGGCAGATGCCACACGACAATTGGCAGATCTTCCCAAAATCCGAGTTGGTGACATGGAGTACCGACGTGGCTTCGGGACGCTGCGGGACGTCCGCGTCATCGGCTTCTACAGCGCGCTGGACGCGCGCTCGGAGCGGCCGTGCGTCGTGTACGTCATCGAGGTCGCCCACGTGCCCATGGAAGGCATGGCGGCGCCAGTCTCGTTCCTCGTCTACCGGTACGTCCGACGACCGGCGCGGCCATGTGCTCAGCAGGCTGCAGGCGCTACTCGCAAATTGCCATCTTGGCCTCCAAGCTGCACTTTCACCCGTCCGTGGGCCTCCCGCCCAAGTACGCGCTGCAGCCTTTCCCGCTCACGGACGAGCAGCTCTGCCACCGGTCCGACTCGATCATCATAATCCATCGATCGATAGTATCTCACGCTGGCGCAGGTACGAAGGTCTTCGCCACTTTGTCGAAGAGGTCTTTCTCGAGCTGCGCCAAGCGCACCACGCGGGCAAGCACCACGATGTCGAGTCGACGGCTGGCCTCGACATGCAGGTCCGTCGCGCGTCGGAGGCCAAAAGCCCAATGGCGCCGTAGACGTACTGCGACTTTGTGTCGGCCAACAAGAACCGACCGCCGGCGCCCGTGACGCCGCCACTGCCGTCCTGGGCGACGCCGACGGAGCTCGACGTACCTTCCCGCAACCCATCGATGGTACGTTCGGCGAATTGAAGGGACACTGCGTCGACAATGCTAGTCGTCTGGCGGCACGTGGCCCGACATTGAGAGCTACGACAGCGAAGACTTTGGCGATGGTAAGCAGCGTTTACCGAATAGGTCGTCATCACGCGTGCCATGTAGAGACACCGTGCGTCGCCCGAGTCAAAACCAGTAGAACATGCAAATGCGCGTAGGCTGCCGGCTGTGGACGTCGCCAACGCGTTCCGCAACGACGTGCTGCAGGCCGAGGGGCAATGCCACGCGCTATGGAACTGCGTTCAAGCCTATGTGCACGCGGCCGCCGCGTGGAGCCAAGCGGCCGAGACCATGCAGGTGGAGCTCGAGCGATGTGCGCGCCTGCCGTTGCTCGCGAGTGCACCGCGCTTGGCCATGACGTCAGCGATGAATCGCATGGCGGCCTTCAAGAGCCTCGAGCGCGACTGTGGCCGGCATGTCCTCCAGCCGTTGCAGCAGCTCTGTCGACAGGTGCGCAGAGCGGGAGAAGTCGCTTTCATAGGTTCGAATCGCAGGTCTTTCCGGACGTCAAGGACACGTTTTGGAGCCAGAACGAGACTCCGATTGCCCATCCGACAAAGCGCGTCCTAGCCGAACGCGCGCACCTCGCCGAGGTCGTCTTGGAGACCGTGCGCAAGTGCGACGCCTCCCTCGCGACCGCCCAAGCGGCGTGGCTCGCAGCGCAACAGCTGCTGACGACGACCGAGGTCAAGGTCCACTCGGATGCGATGGCCGAATCGGAGGAGACGCCACCGGCGATGCCCGCGCTGCTGCCAGTGACGACCCCTTCGATGGACGGGTACATCTCCCACGGTGCGTTGGCGTGTGGGAAGTAGGCGTGAAGCTCGTCGCCTAGTGTACGTGTGGGGACGCATTCCAGATACCTCGAGCGTGCAGCAGCACTTGGTGTTGCGGCCCACGGAGCATGCGATCTTGCGCGGCCAAGCCATCGCTCAAGTCGCGTCGGGCGGCGAGCGCCTCTTGTACCTCACAGGTCACTTCTTTGAGCCTACGAGCCGAATGTTCGAGGCGGGTGTAGACTCGGGCGATCTCTACAGCTTTGGGCCTGACGAAGAAAAGCGGGGCGACGGTACGTTGGCCAACCCACACCGAAGTACCGTTATCCTTGGCCTAGGCTTTTTGGCGCCACACCTTATCGAGCAGTTTGCGCTGGACAAGGCGCTGAACGGGTCGCGGATCGTGAGTATTGCATGCGGCGCGCAACACGCGGCTGCGATCAGCCAGCACGGCGAGGTACTTGGATGATGGCGCAGGCGGCATCAAGTGCTGCGCGTAGCTGTACACGTGGGGCAGTGGCGAGGACGGACGGCTCGGCCACGGCGACATTCGCGACCGAGCGATTCCACGCAAAGTCATGAGCCTCCTCTCCCAGCGGTCCTCTCCACCGATGCATGCGAATGTGCTCATCAGACTTAGTGTCGTGCAAGCGAGCTGCGGCGGTGCGCACACGGCCGTCGTCACCGCGACGCACGGTCTCTATACCTTTGGGCGTGCCAAGAACGGTCGTCTCGGCCTCGGTGCTGACGTCGCAACGTTCAAAATGGTGCGGACGCATCGATGCGAAGCAAATTCGACTTGATTCGTAGACGCCGGAAGCCCTTGCGTCGCCAGTGGACGAGTGGACCGCGGTGTGCTGCGGCTGGAACTTTACCGTTGCACTGACGCTGGTAAGACAATATTGTGCAACATTCGCAAACGAACGAGATGTAGGCCGGTCGCGTGTACTGCTGGGGCAAGCAGGGCGAGGGCCAGTGCGGTCTCGGGTACGCCAACCAAGACCAGTGCGCGCCTGTTCGCGTCGACGCCCTCGCTCCGTACGAGGTGTGTTTTAAGATATTCCTGCGTACTAAACTGGACGTAGATTGTCCAAGTGGCGTGCGGCTACACGCACACTTTGGCACTCTCGCTGCAAGGCGATGTCTTTAGCTGGGGACTCGGCGAGTACGGCCAGCTCGGCAAGGGCAGTGTGTACCAGGTGCGAACATACTGTACGACCACCAACTCAAAGCGGTCGTAGCCCGTGCCGGAGTTTGTCGACATGAGCCACTGCATGGGTCCCCCTGACCAAGTGCAGACAGTGTACTGCGGCGCGTTTCATTCGGTGGCGACAACGACGCAAAACGTCATGGTAAGCGCCTCGCGATTCGAGCGAGGACCCACCCGTCGTAGCTCGCGTGGGGGCTCAACATGTACGGCGCGTGTGGGCTTGGCCACGTCCAGAACCGCGATACGCCCGAGGTACGTCGTTTACAAAAGGTGGGCGACTAACACGCGTAGCGTCTCGACTGCTTTGATCCGAGCCTGGCGCTGCGCGTGGCGTGCGGCCACAAGTTTACGGTTGCCGTTCAGCTGTATGCCGCCTCGCAGGGTGACGTGCTGAGGTCGAATGTAGGCCACGGGAGATGGTCGAGACGGCGCCGGTCGAGCCCGAGCCATTTGGTGGTGGTGGCCACAGCGAGCCACCGCACAGCGGTGTTGCACGAGAAGAAGAGCTTCGTCGGACAAAAAAGGTCCATTCTGCGACCACCAGCCTGGATACAACGATAATGTGTAGCTCTGGCGGAACCGCATTTTGCGGCACTGGAGTGAGATGAAGGACTCGGCGCTGGCGCAGTCGCTCTGGCGCCAGGGCATTCCGCCCTCGATCCGCTCCACCGTGTGGCCGCTCGCGATCGGAAATGGGCTCAAGATCACGCCCGAGATGTACGACATCTACCGCCACCGCGCCACAAAGGCCCGTACGTGTCAACGACGCTGCTCTTGACGGCGCTCACAAGGCGTAGGGTCGGGCGAGATGCTGCCGACCGAAGGTCGCGAGCACACGGTGATGTTGATCCACACGGATCTGCCGCGCACGTTTCCGTCGCTCAAGCTCTTTGACGCGAGCGGTACGTGGCAAGGCCGCGTCCACTGCTCAAAGACGGTCGTAGGTCCGTACTTTGAGTTTTTGCGCGAGGTGCTCGAGACGTACGCGTGTTACCGGCCGGACCTGGGCTACATCCAGGGCATGTCGTACATCGCCGCGCTCCTCTGCCTGCACATCCCGACAGACCGGTACAGCGTCGGTGGAGAGAAGCTCCCGCCCGATCTACCGCGTAGGTACTTGACGTTTCAGTGCTTGGCCAACGTCATGGTCCACGAGCACCTCTTTACCTTTTACCTGCTCAAGGCGGATCTCTCGCGTATGTTTCTTCTGCTGTTCAATTTGACGAGTCGTTGTAGACGTCTACTATGCCTACTACGACGACTACTTTGCATCGACGCTCCCCGACGTGCATGCGCATCTCATGGGCCTCGGCATCCAGACCTCCATGTACCTCATGAATTGGCTCCAAACGCTCTTCCTCCAAGTACTGCCGCTCGAGGTGGCTTCGCGCGTACTGTTGCTGTTATTGTAGCGATGGGCTATCGGTATCGCGTAGGTCTTTGACTGCTTCCTCCTCGATGGCGTCGGGTTTCTCTTCCGGACGGCGCTAGGCATCATCTCGCTTCTCTCGCCGACGCTGCTCCAGAGCGAGCTCGAGGAAGCGCTGCCACTGCTGCAGCGCCACCATCAGTACCACGCGCAGTGGGCTTCGGTGCGATAGCTTTCATCGAGAGGAGGCACTCAGCGCCTTGTAGACGCTGACGGAAGACCGCCTCTTTGACGCAATAGCGACCACGAGTCTGCCGAGCCGTATCACGACGGGCCTCGACAGCGCAGTGCAGAACGTGTACTTTTACCAGCCGCACCTGCCTGCGGAGCCAGCGCTGTTTCCAACGACCCTCACGCGGTACAGACGACTGGCCAGCTGGCCCTAGTGTCCTAATGCAGCGTGTAGGCGCCGGTCCAATTTCGACGGGAAGAAAGGTCTCCGCTTGTCCTGAGCGCGTGTTTCGATCGACTGGACTTTGTTTGAGGCAGTGCGACGCAGCTGGCGCGTGCGTCAAGTGGTAGAAGACTTGCAACCGCGTCTGCTTTTCAAACTTGCGATCTTTTGCGTCCGGCGGGAGTTTCCAAGCAAACGATTGGTCGAAAACACTTGCCTTTTTCAAATGTATCCAATCACAGCGCGGCGTGGACCACAAAGAGAAGATCTGGTGGCACGTGTCGAGGACTACGTAATCCGTTCGCGTTGGCGTTCCGATTTGGTGCACTTGTGTTGCTGAGTCATTTGTGGTCAGAGAAATTGCCACTGCCATGTTGGAGGCGCCATCTCCTTCTTCGGCAAGACAGCCTCTTCAGAGTGGGCCGACCGGGCCCCTTCGCAGGGTCCGAACCCCGTGCGTAAACAGCTTCTAGCTCCAGTACGTGTGGTTGGAACGCGGACGACGACAAGCCATGCGACACCGGCCTCTGGGAAGCAAGCCAAAAATTGGCGTCGCAACACAAAGACAAGTTCTTAGCGTCGTGAGATCGATATCTGATGAATCGAGCCGCCTGCGCTTGAGCTGCGACATCCAACCAATTCACTCGGGGTACGCGTCGAGGAACCCACGCCACGACCGATCAGGGTCAAGACACGGCGTGCCTTCAACGGTTATCTGGATCGCCGTGTCGCAATTCCCTTAGACAAATACACACCACGTCCAAGGTGCAGTATTGTGGCAGTGCGCAACTAATACACCGACACGGCTGCACAAGCACAGCGAGGGTGGCCGTGTCCATGTCCATGGAAAAGGGAGGATCAAGAAGGAAGAATCCGCGGAAAGAAAAAGGCCACCGGCCTGCGCATGTACGGGCAGTCACAAGGTGGTATATGTGCAGCACGCAGCGATCTGTCTTTGATGCAGCCATCGACAGCGGTGTTGCGGGTGGTCGTGGCTTCGTTCTGGTCGAGCGTCGACTCATTTTGGCGAATTATTTGGCGGGTCCGGATAGGCGCACGACGGAAGGTCGTTTGGGGCCTGCTGAACTGACGACCGAATACCTCTGGAGACTCAACCCAGAAACGTCACAGCCGCCGCCTGCATACAAAGCATATGCAGCCAAGCCGGTGCCGATCCAAACCCATTCAGAGCGCGAATGGACCTGGACGACACCGCCATGGTCCGCCACCGGCGCAAGATGAACAAGCGCAAGCTACGCGCGCAGGAAAAGGCCCGCCTGGCCTCGCTCGAGACGAGCGTCGCCCGTCTGCGCCACGAAACAGCCGACCTCGAGTCGACGCTGAGCGACAAGTTCGCTGAGCACGTCCCGATCAGCGCGCTACTGGGCGTCGTCCAGCGCACCGTGGCCGCGCTCGCGACGGGATGGTCGCCGGCCGTCGCCCACACGCAGGAGGCACTCCTTAGCAGCCTCTTCCGCCCCGACATTGCCTTCAACGGCGCGGTCGTCGGGCCCGTCAACATGATCGAGCGCTGGAAACGATCGTGCCAGGCCGCCCGCGGGTTTGCGATGGCACTCGAGTCGGTCGACGTCGTCGCCCGCCGCCTCGTGCGACTACAACTGCGCGTGGGGTTCGAGTCGCCACGCGAGAGCGCCGAGGCCATGTACCCCGACGTAGAGGCGATCCTCGGGTCGAATCCGTTATTCCGCACCATGTGTCACCGGTCGCCGCCGCCTTTGCGCTGGACGTGCCACGTGACCTTTGACGAACACTTTCGCGTCAAGCGACTCGAGATCGACCCGCAGTACGCGGCGCTGCTCACGGCGCTGTGGCCGCACGTCGACGACGTCATCGAGATCATGACCTATTTGGAGACAAAAGCCCGGTCGCGAACCATTCAGTTATAGTACGAGGTACTAGCATTAATAATAATAGAGTAGTTAGCAAGAAGAAAGTCGAGTCATAACACAACGTCGATCAAACATGGCGATGCTGCCGTAGATTCGACAACGTGTCGTCGTTTGTCAATACGGACAAACCATGTCCGTCTCGACTCGTGGGACGCCACCGCTATAAAACATGAAACAAAACGCACAAAATCTCGCCTTTGCTGCACCGAGCCCATTGTTTCTGAGCCACACAGGAGCAGATTCGGTTTCCGCACTCCCTGGCCAATGTGGTCGATCCGCTCGTCGGTTCGCTTGGAGCGACCGAGCTATTTGCACACGATCGACGCACTATGTCTCTTCGTGAAACTTTGTACCTCGTCCTCTAGGTCGGCGATAGTCTGAATTGGAATACCAACAACTCACTTGTCGACTGAGCATGGGCCATTGGTGCAGCGGACGTTGTCGGAGACTTCATATCGCAGGAACCAGCGCCAAGTGCGTCCTCCTTGTCCACGGCTCCCGTGTGTTGTGGCTGTTCTGTTGTTGCTCTTGCTCGGACTGCCGCGTCAACAGGTGCGTCGGCCTCCGAGAAGAGCGAAGCTGGGGACGCCACAAACGCATACTCGGCGACATCAAATTGGAGCAAATTGTCAAGGATCGACTCCAACGCCAGTATTATGACTTGTAGGTTTAGAGCGCAAGCACCTTGCACACGGTGTGATGTCAAGAAATAGTATTATGCGCAGAACGTCGAGCGCACGAAGAATGACAGAAGAAGAAAAGAAGGATAGAACGAGAAAAGGCGCGACGGCCCCAGTGGCATCGCCATTACCAACCTGAACCTCTTATGAGCAAGCGATCCCGCATTATCACTCGCAAAAACGGCCCACGCGAAAACTCTTGTTTGTCCAACATTTTCGTTCGAGATTTCAAAAAGTGTAAAAAAGGTGACTCAGAAGGCCCAGCGCACGAAGAACAAAGCAAGAGAAGAAGAGAAGTAGAGACAGACGACGCCCCAGTAGAAGTACCATTTCCAAAGTTGTCTTCTTTCAGATTGGACACTCCCAGAAACGGCTGGCAGATGCCAAAGACACTTGTTTTGCTCAGCACTCGGCGATTCAGGAGCTCGTTGATCAGAGCCGTAGACGGTTTCTGGTACATGAAGGCATCGACGTCGAGCACAATTTGTCATCCGCCATCGCAGCCTTGTTTCATTTCTCGTGCTGTTTCCACCGTTTCAAACGCAGTCGCTGATCAAGAAGTAGCCAGACTGCTGCGCCACTGAAGGCGTGCGATGTTTCGTCCAAGAAGCTGGTTTCAAATAGATCTGTGCGGCATTACGCACTCTCGTGCGGTGTAGTCGACATCGCATTCGATTGAATTTTGTCTCGTCGCATCACCCAAGTGTGTCCGACCTCCACGTTGTCAACGTTCGCAGATTTTATCCGCGTTAATGTACAGTGTAGATCATGTCGGATACCCACTGGACTGGATTGGGCATGGGTCTCGACAGCAACGCATTCGTCGATGCACGTGGTTATTGAGATATGTAATTTTGACGGCCGATGCTGCACATATCGGGGCGAAGGTGCCATTTCAGCTCTCAACCACAGATCTCGTGGAGGTATACGGTACGTACATGTACGAAGATACCATGCGAAGGTATGCTGCGTCGCCCCGTACCACGGCACTGTACCGGTAGTGTACATCTCCCACCCTACTTGTACATCATACTAGTACTTGACTTTTGGTGAAGACGTTCTGCGAAAGCGTTTAAACAATATGAAGATTTCAGTGACCGTCCGTCGCAGTTGAAGCACGACCGTGCAATTCCAGTTGCTATCTCAATTCCAACACCTCTGCCAAGAACGACTTCTGTTCCCAGTCAGATTGTCAGGCTTTGACGCCCAATTTACAATGTGCTGGACGATGATATATAGTTGTAGTTAGTAGTTTTGCTGTTTTCAATCGACACGACGCGAGCTCACTCACTCGACTTGCGACTGCCACCAAAGGTCACGATGCGGTGGGTCATTTTTGCCATGTAGTCGACTTGCTTGTGCATATTGCCCACAAGCCGCTCCATCGACTATTGGGCGCTTTTAGTCGAAAAGGGGTTTGTGACGTCACGAGGTACCTGGATGTAGCGTTCGCCAAAACCGTCGGCCGTGCGGTGCCCATATTTCCACATCGCCACTGCTGTAAACGAGCAGGCGGCTTGAAGCTTGTCCAAGACGCTAGGTCTACGAGCAACAATGAGGTCTTGTATCGAGCACACAGTGCCGATTACCCTGGTGCGGTTGGGGTCGACAAGGCGGCGTGGGTGCGCGACACGGCAGGCGCAGCGTCGGACACGGGGGCTTCGTCCCGCGTGACTTTTAGCCGGCTATACCCGAGGCAAATGGGCAGCACCATGTTGTTTTCGCTCAGCGTCTTCTTCGAGTAGAGCGTGACTCCGACAAACGTAAACCTACATACCCATGAGGTGAATGATTCTTACGTGCGCTCGCACCGAAACGAGCCCGTGGCTGGAATGTAAATGAGGTCACGGAACGACTTGTTGTACGGCGGGTGTGGTTGCTATTGCGCAGGAAATGAGCGTGTCTGAAGCTACCGTCGCTCGCTGCTACCTCGGCGAGACCAGCGACGAAGGCCTTCACATGCTGGTCAACAACGAGGCGCTTCTGGCGGCCGTCGTCCTTCCCGCCCACCTTCGCCTGCATGAGCCCAACTGTCTGCATTGACCATGAGCTACCTCGGCAAACTCGCCTTCAATGCGGGCGGACTTGGTGCGCAGAACGCCAATGCACTTCGGGTCTTCCTTGGCGTCTCGCATAGCACTAATAGTAGTCGATTCGCATGAGCGTCGAGTGGGGCGCTGGTGGCATGTACCTTGTGTAGATAGTGAAGCCGAGGCAGACATCGCAGTCGACGACCTTGGCCGGCGTCTGGGTCTGGACCGCGGTCGTCGATGGCGGCGACGAGCTCATGGCGGCGCCGCAGGCAAGACGGAAATACTGGCCGGGTCCACGCAATATGTGAATTCTAGTATATTATTATTGAGTAATACAATAATGCATTTTTATGCAGAATGTCTTGGCCCCATCTGATACATTTCTACTTTGTATGAATCTGGGCTGATGATTGCATAAAATCGACAAGCGTAGCTCGCATTATTTTGATTTGATTTGGATATTATTAAAGTCGCCTTCGTCTCCGTTCTTTTTTTGCGAAGCCCTGCAGCATTTCTGCCAATCGACTGCACGCAAACAAAATGGCACTATTGGATTGGCTGAAATACAAGGCCCTTGCAAGCCACGAAGTGCGCGCGCTTCAAGCTCAGCTCGTAGCACAAATTGTTCAAACGATTAAATCATGCAGATGACCTCACCTTCCATAGTAGCAATGGTCCAGCGCCCCGCACCTCAGGTACTATGTACTATAATAGTAGCAACAATCATCCAGCTATAAACCACCTGCAGTCTGTGTTTGTGTACAATGTAGCTGCCGAGTCAGCAAGGTAGAAGTGGTGAGAGGTTTGGCAACCTGTTGAGCAACCCGGGTTGCGCTCGTGTCTCTTGACGCTTCCTCCTTTCAAATCCAGCTCCGGTACCGTGCACGTACCCTCGAAGCTGAGAATGGATCCTCCCACGCTGATCGACAGGGGCTGGTGCGAGCAGATCGTAGTGGCTCTACGCGCGCGATGCAGTCTAGTAGGCCAACGAGACTCGCGTGAAGTCGACCACCAATGTCTTCGTACTCTCCGAGACGCTCTCTATCAACTGCGCAATGGTCAAGCTGGTTCTGTGGGCCTGTCAGCCCCAGCCCCGCATCTGCGTGACGAGAGGTTTGTTTGGGGTGTCCAAATGTTGGACAATTCCAGCCGGTGTATCATTGGGGAGTGATACAAGGTGGGTACCGCTGTGGACCGCTCGTTTCGCCATCGCCCAGCGCGGCGTTGGATCGTGGTCGTGGCGCTGCTTGTCGCGGCGACGCCATGCACGCAACGCCTTGTGTGCGCACGTAAAACGAGGCTGATAAACTTCGTTCGGTCCTGTCAAGTAGCCGCGCGTCGACAGCTTCGAACTTCGCGCCAACGGCTGTTTTGCGCTGCGCAGCGCCCACGCCTCGGTCGCAACGGATCTGGTAAAGACACGATGGTCGCAATGCTACTGGCAGCTGAACGCTACAAAGCCCACGATGGTTGCGGCGCATTCACTTGAATGGACAATTCAAGTCCAATATAATTCGCCAGCCGTGACAGCGGCTCCTGGCCACACACGTCAGCTGCGTACCCAGCCGTGCTGCATTAAATGCCAGCACGACGTTTCACACCCTCACACAATCACTGTGGGTTCTTAAACCGAGGGAAAGACACGAAGTGCACGAACGCGTTGCACCCAAGACAAGCTGCCGCGTGGTCGATCGAACCAGGGACGGTACTATATTTCCGGCGCCACGAGGAATAAAATACGCGCCAATAATAAGCGAGCCCAAAATATACGCTACCGATAGACACGGTGGCAATGAAACAACGAGTGGGCCATTTTGGACTCCTTGATGAGCGCGCCGCCGCCCGATGCCCGCCGGCGTCCGCCGCGCCCGCCGCCACCGACCGAGGACGAGCACCTGCTCTATGTCCGGCATCGACGGAAGATGAACAAGCGCAAGCTGCGGGCGGAACAGAAGCGCCGGACCGAGTCCCTCGAAGACGATGTCGCCGCGTTGACGAACGACACCAACCAGCTGCAGCACCACTTGTACGACATGACAAGCGCGCTGCCCGCCGTGCCCGCGTCGTCGATGGCCATGGAGAGTCTTCTGCGCCATTACTTTGAACTCTTCGCACACGGCTGGGATGCGTCGCGACACGAACAAATGGACGTCGAGCTCCGGACGCTCCTCCGGCCGGACGTCGTCTTTATGGACGATGCGGAGAGTGGCATCGAAAAAGTCATGGAGCAGTGGCGACGATGCTGCACATGCTACGGTGCCTTTCACATGAGCGTGCGGGATCTCATGCCCATTGACCACCGCTTCATGCGCGCGCACATTATCGTTGCCCTCGAGGTGACGGACCAAACGCTGCAGGCACTCTTCCCACACGTCTACTCGCACCCGTCGCTGCCGTCGCGGCTGCTCGGCTCGCGCCTCCACGTGCCGGTCGAGCTCCATATTGCGATGGATATGCACTTCAAAGTCTCTCGCCTCGACGTGGCGGTCGACTACGTCACGGCCTTCCGCGCCCACGTGGAAGACCTCGACGACGTCGCCGAGGTACTCGCAAGCACGCTGCCATCGGGCGAGCTCATGGTCGCTGCCCGACCGCCGCAGTATTGATCTTGATACAACACCCAGTAACATGGCAACTTGTCACGCTTATTCGTTACACTGACCGCATTTCATTGGGCGCTGCATTGGCGAATTCGCTCAGCCAGTACCTAGCCTTCGGCTGCAAAGCCGCCAGTTGCGTGGAGGAGCCGGCCGCAGCGTGCGTCGAGGACGTCGTCGGGCAGGTCGGCGGTGCCATCGTCACCGCTCGGTGTCGCCCACACGATCACGTCCATGTCCATCTCGGTCTCCTTGGTGAGAGCGCAGCGCACAGAGAGACGCAGGCTCGGGCCAAAGAGGTCGACGCGTAACTTCGTGTCCTTGTGCCAGCCGACGTAGCGGTCGAGAGCAATCATGCTCATAGGCTCACCATTGGGGAGAACAGCATCGCACGGATGCAGTCGGCCGTCCAGGACGTAGGTGGTCCACGCCGTCGGAAGCCACTCGGCGTACGACCGCATCTACGGCGCCACAATAAGCTCTGGTAGGCGCCATAAGGAGGTGTGCACATGAAGCGTTGACTGCACGAGGCTGAGCGAAAAGCCCGACAGCATGGAAATGGTGCGCAGCACCGTAATCAGCGAGAGCGACGGCAGTGCGCCCACGGTACGGAGCTCGAGACGCGCCGGATCGAGGGTCCAGGACGCCGTGAACGCGCCTTGGTGGGGCAGGCTCGGCGGGTCGACATAATCGGTCGGCTAGCACAACGATGAGACGTAGAGCCACACAGTTTTACGTACATGAAGCGTGGGCAGGAGTCGCAGGAACTGATCCAAAGACACAGGCTCTGAGAGCGGCGTGTCGAGCTTGGCGCAGAAACCGGCGAGCGTCAAGCCGGGCTTTGCGAGGAGGGCGTCCATGGCTCTCGCCGTGTTTTCGACCCAGCAGTTGTAGAGCTCGGGTGTCGCTCCGAGCCGCCACGGGCCGTCGCGCTGGAAGATGAGCTTGTGCATGAACGGGAGGTGGCGGACAATGTCGTAGAGAAGGTTGACGCCAACTTCAACCCGCGCCTTGGCGGTTGGAGCGACCGCAGCCGGCGCCGACGCACTCCAGAGCGCGGCGAAGACGCTGGCGTCGCCCGTGATCGCGCGCTTGCGCTTGGACGCGGCGCGGGGAGGCTTGTAGATGAGCTCGTGGAGCTGCTTTTGGATCTGCGGCTGCACGAACACGAGGTGCGGTAGCACCAAAGACGAGAGAAAGTCGTAGAGCGTCTGGAGCTGCATGGCCTTGACGCGAATGCTGGACTCGGGGGCGAAGAGCTTGGAGAACGTCACGAGCACGTCGGGGCCGAGCGGCTCGGCCTTGCGCCGCGACGACTCGATCGTGAACGCCGGTGTCGAGGCAACCAGCAGCACGCGGCAAACTTGGGCGTCGACGCATGCCATCACGTACGCCTACGCGAGACAGTTCACAACGTGATCCTGGAGGCAGCAGTCGACCCGAAGACAGTGTTTGGTTTCCCGCACTGCTTGACCACGCCCGCTCTTCCACGAGTAGTGCCACCCGGCCTGGTTGCCTTCGTTCAAGTGAAACACTTGCACCTACGCTCTTCGCTGACGCAAACGGACAAGAGAATGCGGTGTACGCTGGACGGCTCGCCCGTCGTATCGTCGGCCCGGCCCTTGATCCACGCGCGCAGTGGGTCCTGGCGACTGCGAACGTCTGCGTCCAGCTCGTCAATGCGCAAGTGCTGGCCGAGGCTGAGCGTCGAAGGGTCGTCGGCCAGCTCAAACTGCGCAAAGACAGCCAAGTGCGACGATCGCATGGGCGAGGCCAGCTCAACTTTGACGCTCAACGCCTTTGTGACGTGGCATTCGTGCGGGAAATCCCTACGGTCGACAAGATTCTAGTGACGACGGCCATGATGCGTCGTACTGTAATCTCTACGTAGACAGGGCAGCGATGAGTCTACGTTGGTTCTCGGCGTCGGCACGTGTTTACCTTGACGCCGCCGTTCTCGTTGCCGCTGCAAAGAGATAGCGTGAGCGGCGGTCGCAGGGTGGACGATCGTACCGTGCATAAGTCGACACGAACAGCGTCGTGTGCGAGCAGTCGACGAAGAAGCCGACACTTGCCATCGACGACGCAGATGCCGTAGTGGTCTACTGCTCGGAGCTCGACGGCCCAGTTTGATTGGTTCCTTTTTGTTTCAAGGGCCCCTCCCCCCGCTTTTGTGTCACCCAAATACAGGCCATCGGCCGTATTTTGGGCGCGCCCCCCCAACCACGACGAACCCACGCAAGCGGCCGCGAGACTCACCACGCCCAACAGACACTTGGAGTGGCACCAGATGGATGAGTCTCTGCCTGCACCAGAAAGCGTCCCAGGCGCTGTATGGGCCTTTCGTATACACACACTTCCTCGCAGCGCGAGACGCATGCCAGACATTCAGACGACCACCGGGTCGAGACGGAGGCTTTGGCGTGAGTGCGATGACGACACCTCTACGCAAGTCGCGAGTAATCGCCAGACCCGGGATAGTAGCGCAACGCTAGTAGCAGTGACAAAACCGTCAAGCTAACCCATTGCTTGGTGGTGTTATTGCGTTCCACCGTCCAATAAAGCCGTCTCGTACTGACGCAGCGGCGCTCTCTGGCGTGGCCACGTGTTCGGAATCGAAGCCTGCGCCACACCTTTGGTGACCATCCGTTGATTATTGTGTCAGATAGGGCCACCACGATTCGGTGCAGGTAAACCGAGGGGAGGGTTTTCTGCGAGGAAGCTCGAACGCTCGGTAATCGCCGTGTAACACTTCACCAAGCTCAACGCTGTGTTGCAGATCTCGACCGACGTCAGTAGTCACTACAAAAGTATGAAAGCCTATCGCTCGCTCTTCATGCTGCGTCGACAACCAGAGACGTTTGTTGACACATGCAACGACAGCCAGCATACGATTGAAAACACTGGATGCGAAACACTGGAATGGACGTTTCGGACAGGCTGGAATCGTCGAATTGTGACCAAAGCTTGGTATTATGGAGGAAGACAAGAACACGGCTACGACCCTACCGCCGCCTGTGGCCATGACGAGCAGCGGGCGGAAGGGTCAGCTCTTCAAGGCCAACTCGCGCAAACTGCAGAGCTGCACCGGGCTGCCGTCGGACGAGCCGCTGCTGGCAGGTCGCTACCGACCACCCACCACGACGTTCTTTCAACGGCTCACGACGTAGGCGAGGTGCTGCGCAAGGTAGACCGCGGCGGCAAGGTGGCATCGCGCAAATACTACGTCTCGGAGGACCTCTTTAGCTTGAAGTGGGAGTCCAAAGGGTCCCTCGCCAAGCTCACGGACGCACTCTTCCGGAGTTCGTGCACGAGTACGCTACCTGCTCATACTCGCCATAGATGCATCGCTTTGACTAGTCGACATGCCCACGATCCAGCGCATCCAGCCCGGCGTCACGACCGCGCGCCTCCACAAGATGGACGCCAAGCAGGCGCTATCGCGCGACCTCTGCTTCTCGATCGTGCTCGCGTCGGGCAAGTGCATCGACATTTTGTGCACAGACGCCGGCCAGTACAGCCGCTGGTTCCACGTGCGGCGGACCAGAAAGTCGCACACTCATCATGCTCTAGGGACTGCGGTCACTCATCGAGCGCCAGCGACTTGCCCGGGCGCAGGACCCGGAGCGGGCCTTCTTGTACCAGCAATGGATCCACGCCGACGCCAACCGCGACGGTATGCTCAGCCGCGCCGAAGTGCTCAAGGTTGCGCACCGCCTCAATCACGCTAGCGCCGGTGCGACGAGCGCCGAATGCACTGCCTCAATACAGTGTCTTGTAGCCAAGCAGACGATGCTGGCGTCATTTGCGACCGCCGATGCGGACGCCGACGGCGAGCTCGACTTTGACGAGTACTGCACGTTCATGAACACCGTGCGGCACCGAAGCGAGATCGACAGCCTTCGCGACCTCTACGTACGTGTTGTTGTCCCGCTTCCCGCCGAAACCCATCGGCGTAGGCTCCCGAGGGGTGGACCGAGGAGGTCTGGAAGACGTTTTTGACGGACCAAGGCCACGGCGCCGCGACGATACCGCTGCTCGTTGCTAAATATGCAGCGTTAGCTCCGTACGAAGGGTACGTGGCTCCCTGCTCTCGAACGAAACAAGAGACACGGAGCAGGCTACGTCGGTACCTCTCCAGTCCGGGCAATGCGTGGTCCAAACCCGAGATGATGGAGCTGCACCAAGACATGACCCAGCCCCTTGCGCACTACTGGATCGCATCGTCGCACAACACGTACTTGGAAGGTACAGCGCTTCGTCTTCTCCTCTTGAGAGCGTGTAGGGGACCAGCTCCAGAGCTCGTCGTCCGTGCACATGTACATTTCGGCTCTTTTGCAGAGCTGCCGCTGCGTCGAGATAGGTACGTCGCAGCCAGTCGCTCGCCGAATGAAACTTGAGGGTTCTAGACACGTGGGACGGCGATGATGGCGAGCCGATTGTGTACCACGGCCACACGCTCACGACCAAAATCAAGTTTGTCGACGTCATCGAGGTAGAAGGAGGGGCTAGATGATCTAGCATATCGAGAACTGCACTAGGCCATTCACGCCCACGCCTTTGAGACGTCGCCCTTCCCCGTCATCTTGTCGCTCGAGAATCACTGCGGAGAGCCGCAGCAAGTCAAGATGGCAGCCATCATGGTCCGCGTGTTTGGCGACGCCCTCTACTCCACCGTACGTGATCGCGCTTCTTCTTTTCTCGGCAGAGTATTTCACTGCGAGAAGCAGGCGCCGAGTGAAGACGTTTTGCCGTCGCCCTACGCGCTGCGCCGCAAGATCCTGCTCAAGGGCAAAGGCAGAGTGGCCAAAGCCGACGCCGACGCCGTGTCCGACTCGGACTCGGACGACGCCGCCGACAAGGCCAAGCAGCCGCCGTCGAAAAAGTCGAGCGTCGCTGCGGAGCTCGACGCGATCCTCTTCTTCAAGGGCACGCACTTTCACTCGTTTGGCGAGTGCGGCAGCTGGCGCGCCCCCCAAATGTCGTCCTTTGGCGAAGGTACATATCCCGTTCGTACCCTATTCGCTGACGTGTGTGACCAGCCAAAGTGAAAAAACTATCGGCCACGAACGACGCCAAGCTCCAGTTCCGGCAGCTGAACGCGCGTCACGTCTCGCGCATGTACCCCTCGGGCGTCCGCATCGACTCGTCCAACTACAACCCGATGCTCGGGTGGAGCGCTGGCATGCAGCTCGTGGCGCTCAACTACCAGACCGCCGATGTACCCTCTCGCGCACTCATGCTCGAAACTCACGGGACGGTGTAGCTGCCCATGTACATGAACCACGGGCTATTCTCGCAGAACGGCAAGGCCGGGTACGTCCTCAAACCCGACTCGATGCGACAGCACGTGGGCACGTTCGGTCGCGATATCCTCGCCATCACTGTCCGCGTTCTCAGCGGCCAGCACTTGCCCAAGCCGGCGGGCGCCAAGACAGGTGCATTCGATTCCGCGCGACGACGTCTCATGCTCATCGTAGGCGAGATCATTGACCCATATGTGGTGGTCGACGTCGTGAGCGAGTCGAGCTCGTTGCGCAAAACGACGGCCGCGATCGACAACAATGGCTTGAACCCAGTCTGGAATGCCACCATGACCTTTGAGGTACGATGCCATTTCGGGTTTAATGGGGCGAAAGGCGTTGCGCAGGTCGGGTTAGAAGCCGCGCTGCACCTCGTGGTGCTGACCGTCATGGAGAAGGACCTCGACTTTGACGACATGATTGGGTTTGCAGCGCTCCCGCTCTCGTCGATCCGCGAAGGGTACTACGCAACGCATTCGCAGACAAACTGACCTGTTCCAGGTACCGCAACGTACCGCTCTACGCTGCGAACGGCATGCGCACGGGGCCGTACGAGTTTGCGACGCTCTTTTGCCACTTTTCGCTCCTGCGACCAGCCACGTCATAGAAGCCACGAATTCTGTTTCAAACACTGTTTTTTGATGGGCGAAAATCGGATTTTGCCTACATGGAGGCAATCGCCTAAGTTTAGGTCGTCTCGGGGTTTCTCGCGGCAGATGCCGAAAACAAGCTTGCGGTGATTGACGCGATGGACTTGGACCGCGATGAGATGCTGGACGACATGTCCTTGTCCTCGGACGACGAGATGTTTGAAGACATGATCAATGAGATGACGGCGCCCCGTGCTGTGACGCCCGCCCGCCCGGCAGCTCCGGCGCGCACGCAGATGGCCCCGATGGCGCCGCGTGGCGCCGCGCCGATGCCGGACCTGAGCAAGATGATGGCGCAGATGATGCCGATGATGTCGCAAATGTTTGGCGGCAACGCGGGCTTGCAGCCGAGCCGCCGCGTGATGCGCGCGATGGAAGACGTCGTCGCGGACCACGTGCCGGTGGACGAAGTGGCGTCGTGGGTCGAGACGATCCAGCGCGACGAGGCGCGGTATGCGAGCGACTCAGTTTTTGGAAAGCTCACTGCTAGCGTAGGCAGCAAGTGGCGCGAGCGGCCAAGCCCCGCACGAACATCAGTCGCGCGTACCGCACAAAGGACACGAAGCTGCCGAGCGACCACCTCCAGGCCGCGACGCTCATGCAGGAGCTGCTTCTCGATGCTGTGCGCTCTGCCAAGGTGACGCCGTCGGCGAGTTGGGAGAAGAACCAGCTGCGCGTGCACACGGAGCTTCGCGAGCGCGGCATCGACGCCATTTACGCCAAGGAGTTGCAGGCGTCGCTGCGGCGCCACGTCCGGGACGACGCCGACGCCGATCCGGCGCGGTTCCCGGTCATGCATGCGACGTTGCTTACATAAGTGGCTGCGCGAATGCTCAATCTGTCCAAAATACCATCGTGTTGATTGTGCTTATGTCGCTGCCGAGTAGCGGGTGGCGCGCAGGGGGACGTATGCCTGGCGCCGGCGCCGACGGCAAACGCACGCTGCCGTGCCAAGCAGCACAAAGCCGCTGACGACGGCAAGCACGAGCCATCGCCACGGCGACGACGTCGACGGTTGGTCGAGCACGACCTGCAGTCCCGAAAGCTCTTCGAGCTCGTCTCGCGGATACGAGAAGGTCTTGCAGACGTCGTCGCCAAAGAGGAAGCACTCAAAGAGGTAGAGCGCGTGGAGCGGTCGCGTCGCGGGGACCATGTGGCCCGCGCCTTTCACCGTCGAAAACGTCACGTTGGTATACCGCTCGGTGTAGCCGGCGAGCTGCTGGTCGGGGCCAAACCACGCGTGCCACTTGGCTTCAATCGGCAGCTGCAGCGCCGCGAGCCAGCGCTGCGTGCCCATAAAGTTGACGACGGCGTCCGTGTCGCCGCTGTACACGAGCGCCTTCAAGCCGGCCGAGAGGATCTCTTCGTACGCCGGGAGCGCCGACGGCGTCCGGTCGTACGCTGCGTTGACGTCCGCGTTGCAGTTTGCCCAGTCGAGGGCCTGCGTCGAATCGGCGTGGATCGCAGCCTGGACCGACGCCTGGTTGAGGTACGCGGTCATGTACTTGGCCGTGCACGGACCGACGACGCCGCGGTGCAGCGGCCGAACATTTTTGGGCGCGAGGAGGCGCGCCTGCGTGAGGAGGCACACGTCGCCGTAGATGTCGTACGGGTCCATGGCAGCTTCGTCGGCGCCGATAAAGCCGTCGACGAGCGCCAACGCGCAGCGGTCTGTGCACCCAGTGCCCGCAAGGCACGCAGCGAGAAGCGACGGCGGGCAGTAGGTCTGGATCGCCTTGTATGTCTCGAGCGCGAGCATGCCGTGGCTGTAGAGGTAGTCAAAGGTGGCGCCGCCGTCGATCGAGGCGTCCGTGAACGGGTTGCCGACGCCAAAGCCGCGCAAATGCACCCCAACCAGCGGCGCGGACAGCAGCTTTTGCACGAGAAGCGGAATGTAAATTCCGGCATAGCTCTCGCCAAAGATGTAGAGATCCCGGTTCATGTACATGGGGTACGCAGCGTAGAACTCGCGCAAGAACTCGTGGGCGCGGTCCGTCGTCACTGTATCGTTGTAGTCGTCGTCTTCGAGCAAAGGCGTGCTAAAGCCGACGCCGGACGGCGACTCCAAGAAGAGGACATTGACGTGGCGATTCCACGCATACGGGTTGCGCGTCAGCGAGAGGTCGCTGTTGACGACGAACGGGCCGAGCTCCGTGAAGAAGCCATTGAGCGACGAGCAGCCGGGACCGCCGTTGAGCCAGAGCACGAGCGGCGCCGTCGACGCGTTGGCTTCGGCGGCTTCGACGAGCCAGTAAAACATCTTTTGGTCGTTCGACGGCAGCGAGAGGTGACCCGCGTACTGGTCGAACTCGATCGGTGCGTCGTAGCCAGGGAGCGACACGATCTTGTGTGCGGGAGTGGCGACTGCTACGGCGAGCAGCGCCGCCAAGGCCCAGACGAGACGCATGGCGATGAAAAGCAAAAGTGAAGACCGGGCTTGCACCCAGTTGGCGTGAGTAACACTGGAGTTGCCCTTGGACCGACGACTGCGGTGACGTGACGCAGCTCTGAACGACGTGCTCGTTTGAATGTACTGGCTGCGAAATCGGTCGCAGATGCACCCACCTCCCGAACCTCACATATCGCGTGGGTGGCAAGCACAGCGGCGTCGCGACGGTGCTGGTGCTGGTGTGGACGCCACGTAGTATTCCGTCCTTGGGGTGATCGTGATAGGGTCTCGATTCAGCAACGCTCTTCCATGCAGCCGTCAAGATGGGCACAGTTGCACTCTCCCAGCTTCGAATCCCGCCAAAATTTAAAATGGCAAAACAAGCAACCGACGACCATGACCGACGACGACGCTGGTCAGTCCTTTTTCATCATTTTCTCTCGAGCACACGGGGCTCCAACAGCAAGGACGCATGACTTCTCGTCTTGCGTGCTTCGTGCTTGCTTGCACTCAAAGTCTAATGCGCTGTCCGGGCCGTTTGGTACATGGGAATGAGGGTGACGTTGGAGCTTGAGAGAAAGGACTCGACAGACGACACTACAGTTTTAGGTGCAAAGACGGCCTACGGTGATGGGTGGCGCTTTGCTTCAAGCAGTGAGGTGCGTGTACTCGGCGCGACGGGTAGTGCGCTTGTACGCGTAAAGGACACCGACCAGAACGAGAAGACCACCAAGAATACCGCCAAGCCACACGGTGGCGGAAGCTGAAGTGGCAGTCGTGGACGCGCTGCTCGTCGTCGCAACCACGTCTTGCTTGGCGACTGTGGCGCCCGTGAGCAGCTCAAAGTCATCCACGGGGAACTTGAACGTCTTGCA